GCCAGTCTGGTAAAGGGTACATCCTTGTACCTGGATGACAAGACGGATGTTTCCTGTTCTTAATTTTTTTTTAATAATTTTTTCCATTTTAAACACAATGATTTTAGGGCTTTTTCTGTTTGACTTTTAATGGTTTGGGATTCAGGGTTTTTTCTTAATCTTTCAGCAATCTTTGAAGAGTATTTAAAAAAAATCCTGTACCATCAACCAAAATTACAAGCTCAGCCCAAGACACTGTCTTACGATAATTGTCTAACATTTAGATCATCCCGCAAAGGTAACATTCCTGTTCATCACATGGTAGTTTAAAATGGTAACACATTCCCTGCTCTACAGAGTGTCATTTTCCAAAAGACATTAACACCAGGATTTGTTATGAAGACCATCTAGGTTATTAAAAAATAGTATTTAAGAAAACCACCACAACCAAACCCCCAAAAAACAAACAGGGAAAGGGTGGAGGGAAAACTGCATATCAGATCACCTTCCAGGTCAAAAGCTGTCTGGCTCAGCACCTGGTTGATCTTCAAATGAGATTTCAAACCTGGGAAGTGACTGCAACAGCTCAGAAGACAGCTCTGAACAATCACTATCACATGGAGCATGTTTTTAACCCAGTGAGCTCTAGCTAACAGCCTCAGGACACTGGAAGTGTGGTGCATACAGGCTCACAGAATTTTTGAAGAGTGGAAGTGAGATGTTTTTCCTGCTTTCAACGGTAATCAAAATTATCAGTCTCTCACACTACAATTACATAAGCTTATCAGCACAAATATTTCCTCTTTGCTTTTCTCTTACAGATTCCTGCTAAAGAGTAAGCAGTTGAAAGATATTGGGGGGGGTGGGGGGGGGAGAGAAGGGGATGGACACAGTATTAACAACAAAAACAGTTGTGAAAACTCCAAGTGAAAAGTGAGATGCAGCCAGAGTGGCACAGCTTCTCTCAAAGTAGGAAAGAAAAACACAACATTAAATAATTAACAGCCACCTAACTTACACATTTACCACTTTTTAGTCAAAGCAAGTCCTACCTTAGGAAGCAACGGACTTCAGAGAAGATTCCATTATGAAAGTGAAATGTGTAAATTTAGGTATTTATAGTTACTAGAAGTAACCATGCAAACCCATAGAAAAGGCTGAATAAACTCTAGGTCTAGATGGAGAAAAAAAGAAAAAAAAAAAAAAGAAAAAAAAAAGAAAAAAAAAAAGTTTCTCTCCTGAGTCTGAGCCCTCCTCCTGCATTTGAAATATCTGCTATTTTGCCCTGAAAAGAAAAACAGCTTCTGGGAAAGTCACAATTCAGATTCTTCAGTCTGGATCTAGCAAACACTCCCCTCTTCAAATGCCTCAGCCATAGCCTCCAGCGTTTTTCTAACCTCCTGTTTAAATACAGATTTATTTTAATTGGTCCTTTTCCTTCAGAGTGGTCCCCAGCTGCTCCTCTCACTTGCCTCACCAGGTGTCAGAGAGGTAAATCAGGATAATTAGTTCTGAATTACCCAGCTGATGGCTGAAAAAAGCGACATCTTAAGGTAAAAAGCAGGAAGGTAAATGGCATCTTCTAATGTAACACACAAATAAAGGACAGAAAGGATGAGGGCAGTCAGAAGATACTTTTGTCTTCCATTATGCCCATGGAGTTAGTAAATATGGTCATATTCCCTGCTACCAAAGACAAATCAGTTGCTCACAAACCTAATTAGCAAGTCTTAGGTTGGAAAACCTAAATACCCAGCAGCACCCACTGACTGGAGCCTCAGTGATCTGAAGAATATGACCCACCATCATATTTTCACCATCAGTAAAAGACAGAAAGCAGCAAACCAATCTTCAGGTTTCATCAGCCCTGAACCCATTTTCCCTACAACAAACTACAGAAAACTTGAGAGATTTGGTCTGACTTAGATTGGATTGATTTACAAACACTAGCTGTGAATGTACTTCTACAGAATTCTGTGGTTATGCTGCAAAAAGTCTCTTAGGTAATGAAATTGAAACAAGAAATAAAGACAGAAAATATATTCCCATATAGTAGGTTCTCTTATAATCCAAGCTAGAACTTTTGAAGACACTCATCTCTTAAAACAGCAGGAGGAAATGAAAACCTGCCTCACTTGCATTAATAGAAAGACAAACGGCTCACTCAGAAAGTGGTGTCAGTCATTTCCCTCAAGAGGTGGTTAACAAGCTGCACCTGTTGTGCCTGGGACAAATTTAAGCCCAGGTGAATGGACAAGAAAGTAAGGACTTTTACTGACTTATTACTGTGCATGCTTTGTATGCAATACTGCAGTTTGTATTTTATTGTATTTTGGTGGGGTTTGTTGCATGCATTTTGTTGTATTTTCACCTATAACACAGAACAAAGGTTTGTTTTAAAGTCTGCTTCCGATTTACTCAAATCGGATTTGTCTAGGATCCTAAGTCCATATGAACATGTTTTCAGGATACCCCTTAGATGTAATGTAGAAATAATGTACAATTAATAACTCTAAGAAAGTAACCTGGAAGTCTCCCCCTAACACACCTATGAACCCTTCATAATGGTAGAGTTCAAGAATACACCAAGAGAAATGTTTTCTAAATGATGCACTGAAATTCTCAGCCCAGTAAACAATATTCATACCACACAAAGGACTAAGGTGTTGTATTTTTTGTTCATTAAAGTGAAAGACAAGCCGAGCAATTTATATTATCACTAAATATTTAGGGGTTTATTTGGGAGCTTGTTTGGGGTTTTTCTTATCTGATACAGCTAACTTTTTCTTTCTGGGATCAATGCTGTCACAGCAGCAATGAAAAATAAAACAGTAGTACCTTTATTTACATTCCCAAAATACCATTAAAACCATTCCCAGGCAGGCACAATCAATGTTACAGACTCAAACTACGCCACTCTGCTTGAAGATATAAAACATATTTTGTTCAAGAAGCCAAGAAATTAGTAGTATAATAAAGTAGCTAAAAATGCTGTCATGTTTTTTGTTGCATATGAATTGCATAGCTGAGGAGGTACAGTAAGTGCCTGACATAATGAGTTGTGACTGGAGCTGGAAGGCTTATTTGCCCCTCAGTGACACAAAACCAGGGAATTAACATAAAAGTAGCTTATATCCAATATAAGATCTATTGCTTCACTTCACAGCAGATTTTAAACTCAACTGTTAAAGGATGGCATATTGATCTACACTGATAGCGGAATAGACTCCACAACTTGGTTAAAGTTGTAAAGTAGGTATGCTTTATTCAGCTGAAGACGCACGGGGGATTGGTCCTCCAAAAGGCATGCGTACCTCAGTGCCGTTTTCCTTTTACATTTATCCTGTAAAGTCATACATAGGTATTAGGTCGCACAATACGCCTATACATATTCATATTCTATCCCCGCTTCGTATTATAATGAGCTAAAAGGCGCTCCACGCATGCGCAGTGCCTCCTGCTGGTCTTGGGCAGGGGTCTTCAGATGAAGTAAGTAGTCTTCCTCTTGTGGGTAGGGGTCTTCAAGATGAAGTAAACGAGTCTTCCTCAGGCTTGAACTTTTTACCTCTGGTCCTCACGCATGCTCTTTAGGAGCTGGATGGGTCTGGTCCATGTCTAGCTGGTTTAATGAGCTATTCCCTTCGCTAGGAAGCCTTATCTTAGTGCTGTCTGATAAGGCAACTGCTGGGTTTGTCAAGCCAGCCATGATTTAAGCAGTACTCCTTGTACAACCCCCATTCTCCTCACTAGGAGGTTTTGTTCTGGTATTTGTCTGATAAGACATCTGCTGAGCTCGTTAAACCAGCTATGACTTAAGCAGTACCCCCCTGTACATTTTGACAACCCCCCTGTACATTTTGACAACCCCCCTGTACATTTTGACAACCCCCTTGTACACAATAGGCCACATCAGTTTCATACACCTTCGTGAAATAATGAAACTTGACTTTTTAAAAAGCACGTCTTACTTGCTGTTCCAGTGACATTTCTTTTCATGCTGAAAATATAACATTGTTAATAATTCTTTAACTAATATTTCACCCTAAACACAATCATCTAGGTGAATAACATCAACAAAAAGTGGCTGCTTATGCCCAGAGAAGTCAAAGCTTTCAAAACAAACATCAGAGCAAAACAGAATATTTTTATTGGTTGCTTATACTCTACAGCTTGCAGAGCTACAAATATCTTCAGCATTCACAGACCTGTTTGACGTAAGAAGCACCTGAATATCATCAAATCCAAGCCCTCTGTCAAAGCTAGATGAGATCAGCCCCAGCTTTTCCTACCTGAAGCTCAAAACTATGAGGATGGAGACCCATAATTCTCTGGGTAACCTGTTCCATGTACTGCGTCACCTTCTCAGAGAAGACTTTTCTTCCTTAGCACGTACTCTGGAGCGCCCACGATGTCACTCTCTCATGATACCATCAGCCACTATCAGGAACAGCTTTCTCCATCATCTCTGTACCCCTTCTTTGACATTAAAAAGGTATCAATACAGTTGCAAAACCAAGATGAACGGTCATACTGGAAATAAGGAAATAGAGTTAACAGTTCTAGACATGGAAAAATACTGATCATAACACAAAGGAAAAAAATCCTAACATGATGGATCTTGAAGGAAAACCTTGCACTTTTACTCTGCATATTTACTTTGCACTTGAACAAACCAACTGGAAGCAAAATGCTATTTACCCAGACAATATAATTTTACCAAATTTACTCAAAAAGAACTCCAGCATTCAGAAAAAACACCTCTAAGAGTCCTTTTTAAAGGCTACTTCTCTCCTGCTACCCATTTCCAACGGTCAGGGTAGGAACCTGTGCTAGAAAGGCAGAAGATAGTGGGGATAGGAAAGGAAGGCAGAAGATGGCCTCGTGGCCCATGGCAGGCTGCTGGAACTAGAAGATCTTTAAGGTCCCTTCAAACCGAAAACATTCTGTGTCACCATTTCTGTGACATGCACAGTAGCAGGAGTGAGTGGAAACGTAAAGAAAGAAAACAGAAAACGCTTTACCTGGGATACAGCCACAGCACTCAACAAGGCAGGAAATTTAAAGAAGCTTTTCCTCAACTGCTCTGTGCTAAAAGTTTTCTCAGTCTTCAAGGACAAGCTGCAAACCCCTCTGGACTCGTCCCAGCACCGAGTGGATGTGCTCTTGTCCCAGGTAAGCCCTAAGACAGACAGTGAGTAAAACGACTTCGGGAAACAAAAGTAAAAAAAATAATTATCGCAGGCGTGTTACCAGAGTGCCATCTACCGCGAGCAGGGGCCGGGAGCTGAAAAGCATCAGCTCCGCGCTTGAGGGAACGCAACACCTCTGAGAGATCTCCATGAGAAAGGGCTCACAGGGGTGCCAGGAGGTACCTACCCTGACCGGAGGACCGCGCCAGGCCCGCGGACGGTGACACGGGAGCGCGTTTCCCCTCAGGTGCGTTGAGGTGAGGTGTGAGGTGAGCTGAGGTAAAGCGCGGCCGCCATCGCCGCCGGTGGAGAACAACGGCAGCGGACGGGAAACCCGGCCGGAAGCCCGGCGGCAGGTGCCGTCAGCGCCATGAGGCGCCCCCTGCTGCCTGGGCGCGTCAGGCGGGCTCGGCCAGCGGCTCCTCAGCGAGTGGACGAGGTTCTGCGGAGGGCGAAAAGGAGGAAGAACCCTGCCCTCGGGCACCCCTTCTGCTGCATGAAGGTGAGACCCCGCCGCGACAGCCCGTCAGGGGAGCTGTGGGTGATCCGGTAATGCGCGACCGCTGGGGAGGGCTGAGGGGAGGGAGAGCTGAGGGGACGGGCGGGTTAAAACCGGCACCGAAAGGGTGCTCAGGGAAGTGCTGAAATCACCGTCCCTGCAAGTGTTCACACACCTTGGAGACGAGGCCTCAGTGCCATGGTTTGTGGTGGCCTTGGTTTAAAGTTAGGCTTAAAGAACTTCAAGGTCTTTTCCAGCCTAGTTGACTCGGTGATGCAGGGCAGCAGGCAGACACCATCTTGTATTGCTCTGCCCCTCAGCCCAGGCTTGGCTTTTCCCTCCTTTTCTCCTCACTCCTACAACATGGAACTGGAAACCCAGCCCAAAGATCAGCAACCAGCTGGTGCTTTGAGAGGTACCACAGAAGGGAGTACCGCAGTCAGAGATCTTATTTAGTCCTTAAATATCTTATTTATCCATTCTAGATCTTATTTATCCACTGAAGAGCTCATTTATCCCTTCAAGATCTAATTTATTCCTTGACAATCTTATTTATCATTTAAAGGATTTAAGTTCCTCAAAGGGTTTTATTCCCTTTCCCCCTTTCTGCACCTTTTCCTCCTTAGCAGCATCAGTTCTGATTTGTTTGCAGAAGACAGCAGAGCATCTGTACCACCGCTGGTTCAGAAGGAAAAACAGGCAGGAAAGTGAAGCAATAGTTGATGGTTTCCTTTTATAATTTAAGTCCTTTTATTAGCAAGATTGTGATGTTGCCTTACCTTGTCCCAGCACAGGAAGGGAAAACAGGTGAAATAAAGCACAATTCCCACCGTTCCCCTCCCTTCCCAGCAGCAGATTTCAGCAGAAGCCAAAAACTGCTTTGTCACTAAAGCAGCAACAGGTTAAGTGACACTGCTTAAATAGCAGCATGACTTAAATGCATTAGTGTTAGGAAGGACCTTACAACTGGTTCTAGGAAACTCAACAGATACCGGGCTGTTTAGTAGAAACAAACTGAACTTTTAAAGCTAGTATTGTGCTGGCAATAATGAAAATAATATGTGCCTTTAAAGTCAGTCTCTAAAAACTGAGTATTGAGTTTGAGGCCAGCTCTCACTGAGCAGAAAGCTTAGGTTGACTGAAGCCTCATACAGCAAGGCAGTATTTAACTTTAAAAATACCGTGAACATTACACAGCTTTATAAAGTTTGCTTAAGCATACAAGGCCCTGTAGCCTGCTGCTGAAGTGTCTCCCCCTTGGATAGAAACAAGTGCAACAGTTTCACCTTTTTTCATTTTATTAGCACAAAATCAGGTAGAGAGTGAAGACAAAGAAAGGAACATACACGTGTACTTCGAACATGGAAAACTCACTGCACAAATGGGAATGATTTCTTCCTTCCTGGGATCTTGCCAGTTACTTCCTCTCACCTTGAGTACCAGAACACTGGGATGGGGCTTGCAAGCCACAAAACCTGATCTTACAAGCCCACAGCACTTCCTTAAAAAAAACCCTGCTGTTCCGTTACCAAAAAGGGGCTCAGCCTCAGTTCAGAACCACAACTGCTACTAAGAGACTTGAAGGAGAGCACTTGAATTCCCAAGTCTCCTAGTAACTCTGGGAGCAGATCCTTTATGTATTTAGTATCGTACAACATCTTTAAAACAAAGGAAAAACATTTACACAGCATGTGCATACAACCTAATGTTAATGCATGTATATTCTTTTTTTACATATTTTGATGAAAATCCATTCTCTAAGCACAGAAGCAATCCCGTGGTTATTTGTGACCACATAAATACATCAGTTGCAGAGACTGCTTACAGGTACAGATCTTCTTGCAGAAACTTTTATAGTGGCACTTGATATAGTCAGTTGGTCCAGTGGCTTTGCAACACCGATACACACACAGGGACAGGTAAAAAGAGGCGAGATCTTTACGGGCCAGTAGCTGAGCTTACTGCGTAGCAAGGCTCATGTACAGTATGACATCTGCAGTAATAATACCGATACCAATAAATTAGATTAAAAGAATTCAGATATACTTCCCATAGTATGAAAGCCAGCATTCACAAAATCAGGAAAAAAAACCCAAACCACTATTCTATTTGGATTGCATGGCGACAAACAAGGTGTTTGCCACAGTATGGAATCAACACACTTTCAAGGTCCAGTATTATTAGTAGGTTGTGGTACACTGAAATTTAATTGCCATGCAAGGATAATGCCCTCAGACATTTTCCTAGGAATTGTCTTGGTTATCAGTGAGGGTAGAGACAGATCCACCATCACAAGCCATTAACTTTATAATTTTTCCACTTGGGAATAGCTGAAAGTGGTTGCTTTACTCCAACGGATGGCAGACATTCCAGTTTAGTTAGCCATGCAGTTGTTTTGTGAATAGGATTAATCACACAGATTTATAACATCTATGTTTTTGCAGAAGAGAGCAGGTCGTTTATTTCTGCTTTTAATACTTCCCTTCCTTCAAAGGGGACATACCAAGAAGCGTGGTCTGAAAGCAAAGTATCACGATCTCTTAAAATGAAGCTCCAGGTCAGCTCTCCAAACCACCACAGAATCACTAGAACAGAGCTCTACCTTGCATCCACTGAACGAGTACAGAATCCATGAGGATACTCTGAGCACATCAGTAAGAACAAGAATTATTTTATGGAATGATTTGTGAGACCAGCCCCACCAAACAAAAAGCTTGAGTTTCACAAGCCTAAATAATGCCACCACTTTTGTTGTTCATGACAAAAGGGTAAACTTAAGCAAAAGTGGATGTTTTATAGATTAATCTAAAAAAAAAGGAAAAAAAACAGTTGAGCAAGTGACCATTCAGTGTTTCACCCAAAATTCATTCCTTTGTAAGTTTTGATTTGACCTGGCAACCAGTCAGACTGTTATAAAACAGGACTCCAAACTGAAAACCCACTGCTCTTGCAATAAAGCTGGTTTCAAACCGGCATTTCTCACTCCACTGGCCTCAAAGTATTTTTACAGTAGTTGCAGTTGTCCAACATGAGTTACAAGCTGCTGCTCCACAGTTCGCACCACTCTTCTCCTGTGAAACATTACTTCAGGCTTTCAGACTACTCTTCTCTTGTTCCACAAAAATTTGGAGTGAAGAGCTGACAAGTCTATCCAGGGCCTTTCCTCTAGACGGCGTTCCTGGGTGTGCCATTGTGAGTCACTGCTTTCATATTTGAGGCGCTTGACTGATGGTTGCAGATTCTGTGGGAGGCAACACCTACCTCAAAGACTTCATGAATGGCTTTGCGGAAGCAATGAAAATTGTAGTCTATCAGACCTGTCAAGAAGGAAAAGAGGGGAGAGGAAAAGCTGTGCTGAGCTTGGCACATTTACGTACTCAACACTTTCAAAAGGAGCATGTTTCATTTAACCACCAGCTATTTTGCTACTTATTTTAATATGAACTTGGATTCAGCACATTAACAAAGTTTGACTGATGCCAGTATTTATTTAGACTGTCTCAGTTTTATCAAAAGGTACTCATTTGGGATGCAAGGAGTATATTCATAATTAAATAAATAAAATAATAATTATATCATCATAATTAAATAAATAAATTAAATAAATAAAAAAAAAGCAGGTGAGGGGACAACAGAAGACTACCCCCTAAAAACAACCAGGACAGCACAACCATCACTTAAATGTTATCTTGCACTTTATGACATCGATACACATCTTAACTACAATGAGGAAAACATTGAGATCAAATACAGTACAGTTATTAAAAGAACAGATCCTCTTTTTCTCTTTTTAAAATACCAAGGGAAGGACTGACATGATTCAAATCATACTTTGAAATTACACTGTCATTTCTACCCTGTAACATACGCAAGACCACTTGCACCATCATCTCCTACAGGTCCAACTAACTATACAGTTAGGTACCATAGCAGATGGTAGTGATACAGGCCACATTAGCTACACAAGTCACTTCAACAGAAGAACAGTGACTCATGAGAATAAAAATAATATCTCTCTCTACCTATCTCTAGGAAAAGAGAAAATACCTCCCAGAAGAAATTAAACATATTTAGTTACACAAAAATGAAGGTGACTTACAAAGTCATATTAATGTATTTTATAGTTGCTAAAAACATTAGATAAAAGCCATGGAATGGGGGGAAGTCCTTACCTTTGCGCTCAAAACTCTCTTCTCTAAGAATGCAAACTAATGCCAAAAACTTTGTTACTTCCTTTAAGTACAGGACTGTTGTGTTATTGAGCTTGATAATTGCCATTGATTCTTTATCATAAGCACTTCCAGTGCCATCTTCCTTTAACCTAAGAAAGAATAAGTTAACAAAATACATAATCTGGTATGTTAATATAATATCTAGTATGTTAGTACCTGTTAAATGGAGTTAAAAGAATATTGCTCATACTGAATAGTGAGCAAGTGAAGAACTTGCAGTGCAGATCTTAAGTAAGACCATTATCACACCTTAAGTTTCTCTGGAAAGCTAGACCTAAACAGAGTAGAGGCCTTCACCAGACACTGTACTAGCTGAGCAGTTAAGAGCAAGCTATCAGCATTTACTATTTTGTTATCAAACTAAAGAGCTATGGATGTTTAGGGGATACTGAGCTTATAACTGAGCATTCTTAACAGAGGTAGTATA